CACTGCGCGCTCACTACTTGTCAGGATTGTCTTCTGTGGCGCATTTATTTAGAAAAGATTGATGCAGCTTCTCCTACTGCAGCAAATGCAGTTTTTACTGTTGATATTTGGCGCAAGTTAATCAGAAAGTGACGATTTTGTTCGCTTTGACTCGTTGGATGGAAACGATGCTTCATTCGCACAACTTTTATGCGATAATCGAGTTTTGCACAAAGTTTATTCGCATTTTTGGATGGAAACATAGCTACTGAGTGCATGTGAATGAGTTCTCTCCAGTGTGGGTCTTCATGTGTTTATTAAGGTTTGATGAGTTACTAAAACTCTTCCCACACCAAAGCTGCGGTCACACTAGAGTTTGAGCATGCAACATTCTGTTGTACGGCACTGTGAAAAGGGGCAGGATTAAACAAGATGATTAGATATAAAAAAAGTGAGCGATTGGTCCATAATATACATTTCTGTCCAGAGAGGTCATGTTTTGATCTTCGAGTCAAGTGATATGATTTTGCAGGTCAGAGTTCACCAAACTTGAACTTTGCAACGCAGTGAACTGCAAAACTTGATACACGAACTTGCGTTTCATGTCTGATACATTCACATGCGTATGAAAGGAAGTCTATGGGGAGAAAAGTCCAGTGTGACCGTGGCTCAAGTGCATGTGAATGGTTTTTCTCCAGTGTGGATCCTCATGTGTTTATTAAGGGATGATGATCGGCTGAAACTCTTCCCACACTGAGTGCATGTGAATGGTTTTTCTCCATTGTGGATCTTCATGTGTCTATAAAGGTTTGATGAGCAGTAAAAACTTTTCCCACACTGTGTGCATGTGAATGGTTTCTCTCCAGTGTGAATCATCATGTGTAGATTAAGGGATGATGAGCGGCTGAAACTCTTCCCACATGGAGTGCATGTGAATGGTTTCTCTCCGGTGTGGCTCATCATGTGTAGATTAAGGGATGATGGTTTGCTCAAACTCTTCCCACACTGAGTGCATGTGAATAGTTTCTTTCTAGCGTGAATCCTCATGTGTGGATTAAAGTTTGATGACAGGCTCAAACTCTTCCCACACTGAGTGCTTTTGAATGGTTTCTCTCCAGTGTGGATCCTCATGTGTCTATAAAGGTTTGATGAGCAGTAAAAACTCTTCCCACACTGACTGCATGTGAATGGTTTCTCTCCAGTGTGAATCATCATGTGTAGGTTAAGGGATGATAAGCGGCTGAAACTCTTCCCACACTGAGTACATGTGAATAGTTTCTCTCCAGTGTGGATCCTCATGTGAATATTAAGAATGTGTTTTTTTCCAAAGCTCTTCCCACACTGAGTGCAGGTGAAACGATTCTTGTCTTTCCTTTTAAAAATACCATCAGTCTGTAAATGAGTTTTTTCCTCAATTTTGACATGATGTTCCTCCTCTTTACTCCCCTCATTCTCTTCAATAAGGACTGAAATAAATAAATACAACAGTTTTCATTAAATCCTAAAAAATCTTTTCAATTCTGAAAAGTAAAAACACACTGGAAAGATTGTCTACACACACTGTAATTTGGATGCACATTAAATGTAAAATAAATCAGATCATATTTTGTTTAGTCCATTAACGTGTACACATTTAAGCAGATTCAATTCAATTCATCTATATTTATCTAGTGCTTTTACAATGTAAATTGTGTCAAAGCCGCTTAACATAGAAGTTATAGTAAATTGAATCTGTGTAAGTCCAGTTTTCAGAGTTTCTCATAAAAGTCATTTTGGTCATATTAATAAAACAGAGATTTGAAAGCTGTAAATGGGCTATTTTTATTTGTAAATATAATTACAAAATGTTTTTTTTTGTAAAGCAGACTGGGAATACTAGTCTATTCTGTGCCTGACTGGTAAACGCATCAGAAAAAAAGTCTGAGGTAACAGCTGAACACACAGCTGAATATTTGCCTCTCAGACATGAGACATACCTGTAGAGCATCTGCATAAACGCTGGAACGTGCACCTTTCCAGAGATGTATAGTAACAAAGTAGAACTACTTCACTACTGTACTTAAGTACTAAAAGGCAGTATCTGTACTTTACTGGAGTATTGTTTTTTCTCCTACTTCCACTTTTACTTCAGTATATATTTTTGATGAGTTAAATATTTTTACTCCGATAGATTTTTTATGTGCTGCATCGTTACTCGTTACTATGGGTGTTAAAATGATCGATATCTGTTCAGTAATAGATCATGACCGGTTATTCCATACTGACGTCATTTATCTCCTATGCGCGATGTCGCAATACTATGGCAGAGGCGAGGGCGAGTAAAGGCGGCACAGCACACAAGCCACTATCTCACTATACTGAGAAATGCTGTAAAACTCCATCTCTGGAGATGGTGAATTATGTGGACATTATGTATGACTTGTAATCATATTAAATATTTTTTATTTTCGTAAAGTAAAACTACACAAAATTTCCTGTAAGAGTTGGGTTTAGAGATTGGATTTGGGTTTAGAGCAATCGAAAGTACAGTTTGTACAGTATAAAAATAATTGTAACCTATGTAATGTCCCCACAATTCACAAAAATGTGTGTGTGTGTGTGTGTGAGAGAGAGAGACAGAGAGAGTATAGTATGTGAGTGAACATGCTGAATTATCTCATCAGTGAAGGGATTTTCTGGTAAAAGGGCCTGACGATGTGAGTTCTTGTACCATAGAAACTATTGACATTCATCAAATATCTACAAAAAACATGGCAGTATTTGCCATTTAAGAGGTTATCTTTATAAGTTGTGATTTTCACACATTAGTTTTAAAAATTCATTATATTTACTCCGAAACTATCCTAAAAGTGTTGAAAAATATATATATACTTAAGAAATGATTTCAGTATATTCATGAATAAAGAACAGGCTGTGTCATATTTATTCTGTGAATGATCAAAAGTTTATATTTCTCAGCAAACAGTAAATTTATACTGCAGAAATGTATGATATGAAATCATTAGTTTTGCTTTTCTACCATAAAGTGACAAATCAACCATTTGGTCGAGCACAGGGGCGGACTGGCCATCTGGCGGACCGGGCACTTTACCGGTGGGCCGACGTACTTTTTGGGCCGGGCTGATCATCGTCTTATGATCTGATTGGCCCATAAAAGGCTTAGCAGCCTATCGCTTTTTTCTGCCTTATTAATTGACGCTCCTGTGATTTGTGACTCTCTGAAAGTAGATGCTTTTTTTTCCTGGACAGACAGACCGGGCCGCCCCATGTGACACTCTGCAGCCCATTGGCTCTTTTCTTTATTGACATTAGGCTGGTCCAATCACAAACTCCTATTTTGGGCTCTGTGTGAGCATGCGTCGTCTGTGTGTATTTGTCAAAATAGTCGAGAGTCAGAGAGAAGAAACGCAAGGGAGGCGCAGAGAAATCGCGGGAAATACACCGGCGTTTCATTTAGCGGTTCTGAGAAGTTCTCCTTTCATTCTAGTACACGGCTAAAAACGCAAATCACGTGACCACACACTCTCTTTCAAGAGCTGGCGGGTGAGCATAAACCCCAGGTGAGAGTATAGTGCATGTCAGACAGTTCATCTGCTGGATGATCTCATCTCACTATAGTTGTTAAACGTGATATTGAATTCATCTTGTTGTTTTGGCTGAGTGCAAAGATAAGCAAATATATTAATTTATGTAACCAAGTACACTGTAAAGTATCCTGTAGAAAATATTAATTTAAAAGAGAAATCTGTGATGGGTGTTCTTAGCTCTCTCTCAATATATATATACACACACACACACACACACACACACACACACACACACAAACTCTCTGCATGCTGGTATAGCACTCAAGGAAACTTACAAAATATAATTCACAAACATATGTTTCAGGAATCTGGTTATTTCAAAGCTGATGAAATAGAAAGAATTTGATTGATAGAATTATTAAATCTGTTAAATAATGAAAATGTGTTATACAAAATATTAGTTTATATAAATAGACTATATAAAAAATATAAGAACTATTTAATGTTATATCTTTTAACTTAATGAGGTAATTACATACACAAAAATAGTCAGAAAGAACCTTTAAAGGACAATTAAGATAAAAAGCAACCAGAACTTTAAATATACTCAAACAACTCTTTTCTTTTGCAAATATTAATGTAGCCTATACTCTTTTTGATTTGTTTTTTAATTATAATTATTATTCTTTTTCTATTTTGTTTATTTATTTATTTATTTTTTTACGATGTGGATTTTGGGATTATTTTGATTGTTAAATATTCAGCATATACAAAAAAAAAAAAAAAACTGATAAAAGTTAAGCTAACCCCCATGAACTAAGTCTGTATATATATATATATATATATATATATATATATATATATATATATATATATATAGTCTGTTTGTAAAGGAAAAATAGAAAAAGAATATTATTTAAAGAAAAGTTATAAGAGCCTGGAGGTATTAAGTTTGCAGACATTTGTAGGAACATACATCTATTGTGTGCATTTTTGGCAGTTGTTTCTTGTCTTTTTAATATTGTCCATATTAATATCGGAATTATATCGTATCGACCGAAATTAATAAGTATATCGTGATATAAATTTTTATTTTATTTATATCAGCCCTAATTTAACAACATATTCCCCGACTTTGGTCTTTTGAATCTATTACTTGTTCTCAGGTAATGTGTTTTGGCTGAGCGCAAAGATAAGTTAATAATTAATGTAACCACATTCTGTATATTCACTGATCGCTTGCCTTTATTTCCTATTATGTATAAACTTATTGTACATTATACTTTTATAATGGCCATTATTGGTTATTAAAACTGATATTCCGCAAAAGAGAGGGTATGTTTAGCATTATTAATGAAAATTAAAAGAGGCAGTAATGTTACAGGCTCTATTTTGTTATGAATATGCATACAGTAAAGATGACGCTCTTATATGAATCTACATGATGCATTTCTGCTGTCTTTTAATTTGTTAATATCAAAACAAAAATAGCAGTTCCTTCTATCATGTTTTTATTTTATTGTTAAGATAGTGAAACAATGTATTGGATGATGGGAATAAGGATTTAAAAGTACATTGTTCCCTTTGAAGATTTAAGACAAGTCCTCAAGAGTCTGTTTTCCATATCAAACTTGCGAAGTCTGAACTTACAAGGAGAGGATGCAGGACTGAACTGTGTGTTGGCTACTTAATATTGAGAAAAAGCCCCAGAGAGGCGAATGTCTGCAGCCACGTCTCCATCTTCAGATGTCTCCGTCCCGCCCCTATCCGTACTGAGACAGAGCAGCAGCATTTTAGAATGAAAACGGCCTCTTCAGCGTTTCCAAAACGCTCAGTTTTAGGCACTTGAAAACTCCGTAGTATGGACGAATGGCACAACCGTAGCAAAACTTAGCATTTTCAAACTAAAATGCATTAGTGTAAATGGGGGGGCCTAAGAGGGAAGTTTCAAGAAAGAAACTGAGGGGAAAAAAGAAGTTTACATTTTTTTGTTTGCAGTTTATTTAAGATATATTTAACTATCACACAAAATAACTTGAGATACACTTGTGAGAGTCAGTACACTGCATACAACTCTGTAAACTATATAAACTTACATATAGCAAATCTACTGATAAAAGTACTTATAAATACACTTTACATATAACTAAAGGCAGGGATGTCCAAACTCAGTCCTGGAGGCCCGGTGTCCTAGGGACTATTCCATAAACCAAGCTTACAGAAAAAGCCAGGTTTATTTTGGTAAGTCAGGTTTATTAATGGCGGATTCGGTTTCATAAATCAAGTTTACGATAGTTCAAACTTAGTTACCATGGCAACTTATGCTGGGACACTAGCCTGGTTCGGGGCAGGCTAAGTCTTAAGTTTAAGCCTAATCAAAGTAATGTTAACATTCACCTGCCATATTCTAGTGCCATTTTAATTCACTTAACCTCTTAATAATGATTAAAACGTTAAAGTCACTAAATAGCAAAAAAAAAAAAAAAAAAAAAAAAAAAAAAAAAAAAAATATATATATATATATATATATATATATATATATATAATTTTTTACTTTGCATTGGTACTGAATAATCTAATGTATATGCACAAATCTATTATTGTAAAGCATCCTGTAGAAAATATTAATTTAAAAGAGAAATCTGTGAGGGGGGTTCTTAGCTCTCTCTCGAATATATATATATATATATATATATATATATATATATATATATATATATATATATATATATATATATATACATACATACATACATACACTTTTTTTTCGGCTTTGTGCTTTTATTAATCTGGGGTTACCACAGCGCAACGAACAGCCAACTTATACAGCATATGATTTATGCAGCGGACGCCTTCACTGCGAAACATTCATACACACTCATTCACATTCCTACACTATGGACAATTTAGCTTATTCAGTTCATACCATAGCTAGCGCATGCCGCATGTCTTTGGATTTGGGGGAAACCAGAGAACCTGGAGGAAACCCACGCGAGCATGGGGGTAAGAAAGACACTGAATAATTTAAAGAAGAAGACTACATTTCTTAAATAATGACTTTAAAGCTGTAAAATGAGTTGAATAATCGGGAGATAATCCGTGCTGTGCAGCAGCCTCACTTTAATGTAAAGATATTTTCCCACGAGCCGTGGGAAACAAGTGGCAAAGAGAAAGCAACGATTTGCAGCAGATTCGGTAGCAAATTAAAAATCCCACCGCTTGTGTGTACACGGCTCTTTGTTTATTTTAAACCTATATGCTTACATTTAGAACATTTTGTACATTACAGTTAGCCTGCAATGCATGAAAACTTTTCCTTGCAAGCAAGAATTGAAAGTAAGCGCAAAAGTATTTTGTTTTATGACAAATATTTAATTTCATTTTAATAGGCGTATATAATAGCCTATGTTTAAAAATATATTGCTACTAATGTAGTCTATTGAACAATCTGCAGTTTCGCGGCTCACTCGCTGTGAACAGCTGTGTCTCATTTCAGATCTCTTTCAGTTCTTGAAGTTGCCATGGTAGCACACAACATAATCGATGCATCTATGCTCGACTTTTAAAGTTTCATGACAGAAACGTGCACGAGCAGTTATCTAGATTATTTAAACTGAACTCAGACTAGTCAGATCAAATGATCTTCAACTTGCTGTTATGGAACCAATTTAAGCATGGACGTTTAGTTCAGCTCATTCAAGTCAGGCTTATGACTTTAATCACCGCTTTTTTTTGGCCAGATTGGGTAGAAAAACATGAACAAAGGAAAATAAAGACTTGTTTAAAAAAGACACAATACAGCACAATATTTCAGTAAATTTAAGACTTTTTAAAGTCTAAAATGTTAAGTCTTTTATGAGAATACTGTAGGTCAAATATCATCAGCTCAGTTAAACCTTCTATTGATTTATTGTTTTTATTTATTTTATATAGCGCCAGTGCTCAAGGACAGTTTAAAAAAGCAAAAGAACAAGAAAAGCAATAACCTTAAGAAGGTAGAGAAAATGGGAGACTAATAACACATAAAAGAATGACAAAACACATGAGAACAAGTGATAAAAGAAACTCATTCTTGTCTTTCAATGAGTGCTTATGTGCGTTTAGGAGAACTAGGCAGCACACTCAGGGCTGCAAGATGGATTTAATTTAGTATTCTTATTATTAAAATATATCTGAATGAGGATCAAATGACTGAGTTGGTCTTTGAGAATGAAAACTAACCTGTTTGTTCTTGCAGATCTTCCTGTTTGACTGTGAATGTTTCTTCAATCTTCACATCTTCACTCTCCTCTTTAATAAACGGCATCTTTATAACAGTGTGGAGATCAGTCGCTTCAGCAGGAGTTTTTCTCAGCGTTTTGACACTTTGTCCTGTTTAAAATGAACAAAACAATAAAAATGTCCTGTTTAAAATAAATAAAACAATGAACAGAAACAAAATAACTTCTCTTCAACACTTGCTTCAACAGTTTCTTTTAATTATCAAAACGAAATCAGGTAAAACATTTCTTTAAAAATAGAGGTAAAATTGGTTTTATATTAACACATTCTGACTTTCCCCTTAATAATATAATTTCATTAAAGTATTATTTGCAAACTCTAAATAGCGAAATCATATTAGCAGCCAATGGCTATCAAAGTACAGCATTGTTCACAGTCAAATAAACAGTGTTAATGATGTTTAGAAGTCACACTTGCATGCTAATTCCAATCAAATATTCAAAGTAACATGGTTAACAATATAGAGACTTCTAAATGAACAAATGTGTGAATATAAAACCAACTTTACCTCTATCAGAAAAGTTTGGGAAACCCTGCTTTAAAACACTCATTACACCCTTTTCTGTTTCAAACAATAGCCCTCGGCTACTGAGAATAAAATAGTACTACACTGTATAAAGGGTTTAAATATTATTTTCAACATCAGGTAAATAATTTAGCATCGGAAGTAAAAAATCCTGAAACTTTAATTAAATCGGTTTGTATCTGTAAACATTTTAAAGCACAAACCTTTCTCCAGTTGAATCACAGCGCTGAAGCGGCGCCACCTGATGACGTCACACGCCACGCCAAAATAAGAGTCTTTATTTTGTTTTGCTTTTTTGCCACTTACTGTTGCAGTCATGACTTATTGATACATTTCTCCCATGTTTTTCACTTTATACTATTTCTGCTCTCTCTCTTTCTCTCATATTTCACATTTTAGGTGCTTTTTTGGCATAACAAATAACTGTACATTCATATTGCCAAAGCAGTGCAGCGTCACAGCGTACGAACAAGAACAAATATAATACAGAGAAAACACAGAAATAAATAAAATAAAAATAGATTAATAAAATTAAAAATAAATTAATAAAAATAAAAAGATTAATAAAAAATATTTTAAAAAATAGATTAGATTTCTCTCTCTTACACACACACACACACTTCGGTATTTTACAGTTGATCAAAAATTTTTAATTAAACATTTTAAGACAATTTTGTTTCATATAAATTGTTGTCTCTTATTTTCTGTTCCACGTTTCCTGCCATTCTTTGGCAATATCTTCAGTGATAATATTAAATTTACCTTTACTTACAGAATCATTAAAGGAGTAGTTCACATAAAAATTACAATTCTGTAATTTACTCATCCTCCACTCGATCCAAACCTGTTTGTAATGACCTCCATCCTCCCTATCCTTAAGTCACCACTAGAGGGCAACGCCTATAAATTGGCCAGTAATTTGGGTTTAGTAGCTTTCCCTCCAGCACCTCATAATCAGCATTGGCCGGTGTGCAACAGGTGTTTGTTGCCTCACGCTGAAAAATAAATATGAACAGCATACTCTAGCAGCTAAACGAATGAGAACAATTTAGCTCCCCCTTTATGGCAAAGCGGAACGAGGTATGCTTGTTTGTTTAATTGTTTGCTGGTACTTTGTTGTTTATTGAATTGTGCACTGTGTTTGAATGGTGCACTGTGTTTGTATTGTGAATGTCTGTGTATATTATGCTTTACGTTCTTGTGATTGTTTACACTGTGTTTTTTTTTTCGGTTTGTGTAGTTTTACAGTGTTCTTGTCAACACTGTGACAAGTGAAGCATTTCAGTGTTTCATACTGTTAAAATAAATCACCGTGCAAGCATCTCTGCCTCCTTCTTTGATGCCATGGGGCTGCTACACTGTGTGAGTTTCTTCTGCTGAAATGAAGAGAATAGGCTACAGGGTCAAAAAGCAGCCACTATATGGTTCAACAGCTCCTACTTTTTACATGGCTGCTTTTTTCAACATTTTCTGCAGTGTTGGGAGTAATGCGTTACAAAAGTAATGTATTACAGTAATGTATTACATTTTCCTGTAACGCAGTAGTGTAAGACATTACTAATACATTTTCAGTAATATTTTACTCGGTACATGTTCAGTAACGCGTGCGTTACAACACACTTTTCGCCCGCAAGACATTAACAAATAAAAAATACCGCAGTTCTAATTCCTGTTCGTGGCTAGAGAATATATGCGCGTGCTGTCATTAATCTCCCTCTGGCAATGGGACCTTTTTACTTTGAACGCGGAATGATTTCAGCTTCTGAGCTCAAGGTCCGGGGCTATTGGCTCAGCCCGGTTCGCAGTACGCGCAGCGGAAAAGCGGCAAATAGATGAAAATGGCAGAAGACAGTGCATTCGCGAGATGGACGTAAGTGCATATGGCGTTATTTCACTGACAAATGTCGTAAGCTCATTCATGTAATACGAGCGAGTGAACGTGCCGGTTTCCTCTGTGGACAAAACTCCTCACGTTCACTCAACACTGGCTGGGCTGCTCACGTGCTAAAGACCTGCTCTCGCTCCGTCAGATGATGCAGACTCACAATCTGCCTTGTGTTTCCTCTTCCTTTCGTTTTGTTGCTCTCCAGAGATCCGCCTTTTTAATTGTTATCCCAAGAATTTTATATGGTTTATATATTGCTACACTATTTACCTACAGGTTAAGATAAATTCTATAATAAATACTAGTGTTTTTGAGTATTATATATGCCTATGTTTTAGGTTAGTATTTACAATGAATGCTTAAGCATACTGTCGTATTAAGAATAGTGAACTCATAAAATTAAATATAAAGTGTAGTTTTACTACAGTAAAGTGTGGTGAATTGTAGTACAATCTACCCCATATTGTAAAAAAAAAAAAAAAACTACAGCACTGGATCATTTGTTTATATTACACTTGTTGTTTTACCATAGCAACTATAGTATTACCACAACAGGGTAATTAAAGCACTTAATGACAATATGTGTGTTCAGGGGCCCTGTGGAACAGCTTCTTCTCAAAATGAAGATGATGGCAGGGAAAATGTCCTCCACAATCTGATCAACAATGTGGAAGACAACAGACACTAGTTCACTTTTTTCAGTTGCCATAAAAAATGTGATTAATAATGAGATTTATTTGAAGAGTGAATAGTACAGTAGGCTATAATACCTTATCAAGTGTTTCTATTAGTTAAATTTCTGCTTGCGTTAGTTTTTATTTTTTGTCTAATGCTTTTTATTTGAAATATCTCATCATATAACATACAGCCAACAATGTTATGGTTTATTAGATTAAAAATTATAAATCTATTTTAGTATTTTGGTTATTGTTAATAAATAGTGTACTAATATAATTCATATTAAAAAGCTTGAAACGAAAAGGGAACACAAGACACAAATTGTGAGTTTGCATATAATCTCACTGAGAGAGCAGTGTACTGATAGCACGCAAGAAAACTTGTGCGTGAGCAGTGCATATTTGAGAGATCGTGAGAATTTGTGCGCGAGCAGCGTATGTGAGAGCTCGCAAGCAGTTTTGTCCACAAACAGGAAGTCGGTGCACAAACATTAGAAAGAATGAGAAACAGCTGAGAAAGCTGTTCATCATGCTCACTTTGTGCAGGACGGTTTTGTGTTGTAAACCACTTGAATGTAAAGTAAATACAATAATGGCAACAATAAGAAAAGAAACAAAATCTGCATTTTGTCATGGCATTGGAGTTTACATATCGGCCTGTTGTGTGTAATATGAATATAGCCAAGCCATTCACAGATATTGCCAGATAATCACTTTACCTCTACCATACTTTTAACAGATCATTTGTAATTCTGGCTGTCATCCTTTCTTGCATTGTCTTGAGCCTTCACATTGCCAATTATATACTATATTGTTAGTAGCCTGGAGAGGTCAGTCATTCGGCTACATCAAATCACTTTCTACTGGATGTAAAATCCTCATTATAGAACATTATAATTTTTTAATGTTAAGTTCTAATTCTGTAGTTATTTTGGTAAAAGTAACTAAGAAGTAATATAAGAGTAATTTAACATATTACAATTCTGAGACAGTAATATTGTAAGGTAAGGGATTACATTTAAATAACAGTAATCTGTAATGTATTACAGTTTGGAAGTAACTTGCACAACACTGTATATATATATATATATATATATATATATATGTGTGTGTGTGTGTGTGTGTGTGTGTGTGTGAGTGAGAGAGAGAGAGGGGGAGAGAAAATGGAAAACGAGGGAGAAATGTATCAATAAGTCATGACTGCAACAGCAAGTGGCAAGAAAAGCAAAACAAAAAAAAGACTTTTATTTTGGCGTGGTGTGACGTCATAAGTCAGCGCCGCTCTTGCGCTGGATCCAGATGGAGAAAGGTTTGTTTTAAAGCGTTTACACTTATATAAAGCGATTGATTAAAGTTTCAGGCTTTTTTTCATCTGATGCTAAATTATGCTGTTAATGCATAATGCTGCTGTTGACAACATTATTTTAACACTTAACTGTGTAGTATTATTTTACTTACAGTAATGAGGGTAATTGTTTGAATAATAGAGGTAAAGGTGGTTTTATATTCGCACATTCGTTCATTTAGAAGTCTCTATATTGTTTACTGTTACTTTGAATATTCGATCGGAATTAGCATAAAAGTGTGGCTTGAAAACAACATTAATACTGTTTAATTCACTGTGACCAATGTTGTACTTTGTCATTATAATCATTGAGTGCTAATATGATTTCGCTATTTAGAGTTAGCAAATAATACTATTATGAAATTATATTATTAAGGAGAAAGTCTGAATGTGCGAATATAAAACCAACTTTACCTCTATTCTTGAATAAACAAAAGAAACATAAACGTGTAGGTGTTTTAATGAAGGTTTAATTGATTAAATAGCATAATGTCATTCCATTCTAAATATACATCACTATGTATGAGAAACGGAGTTTTAATCAGCTCATTCTTTCTAGCTGACAATA